AATAGAACTTTTTTCAAAGAATTCTTATTTTCTGTGGCCTTTAAGAAATGTTTGAAGTGCATTCAAATTTTGATCATCAAATCACATTGGAGCAAGTCATGGCAAAAAAAAAAATTAGAGCTAAAAAATGTGTTTGAAAGTAACATTTTCAGAGTACCTATTTCTTTTACCACGTCTTGCACCGATGTGATTTTGTGATGAATTTTCACATGCACTCCAAAAATTCTTTAAAGTTTGCCAAAAGAACATTTTTTTAAAAAAAATTCTATTTTCTTTAATATACTATCTATGCAGGAGCATTTGAGTTCAAGCTTAAAAACTCCACATCCTATCATCGCTCACACACGTGTGTCATGAAGAGATCTGAGCCATCTAGGAACAACAAACGTGAACCTCATAACAAATTCACATCAGGCCTAGCATGATGACTCCCCGACTGTCTACTACAACAATGTTTGCCCGACTCCGATGAGGGAGGGACGATGAAGGCGGAGCGCCTTCGGCTCGCTCCAGTGCTTGTAGTCGTTGCTAGGTGGTCTACTGACCTGGATGTAAATCTTACTTCTGGTGTTCTTTGTACTACCTTGACAGTTGATGAATATATTAGAAGTTTTCTCGCAAAAAATAATAATAATTCATAACATTTTCACTTGTTTAACCTTTCCTATTCCTGTGTTGGAGCTCCAACTCATTGGTCAATGTCTGCTCCATCTATGGCTCCAATAGCATGTTGGAAATAAGGCCAAAAAAAACTTTTTTGTAAGCATTGGGTGAGGTTCAATAAAAGTTGGATCAATTGGTCTAATGTAATCATCGGCCATAGTGGTCTGACATGTACCCACAAAATCGAGTTCTTTGCGCTCAAGAATTTTCAGACCGAGATTTTTCATAATCTGCTCAAAAGAACTGGGCCTTATAGTATATGCTCATCGACGGAAAAGACAGTCTCTGTTTTGGGCTATTCCAGCTCACTGCGATGCTCGGGCTGGGCCTCTTTCCGCCAAGACTGGCCCAGTAGACTGCTCTGGGACCCGAGCCGAGCCCAACCACGTCCCGTTTCCTCTCTACAGCAGAGGCGGAGGACGCGGTGCTCTCACTTGGCTTCGCGGGAGGGGAGGGAGACGTCGTCGTCGTCGTCGGCGTCGGTTGCGTCTCCACTCCGCAGGTTAGCCGCCGGCCTCCTCCTGCCCTTCCTACTCCTCCCCCCGCCTAGGGTTTGGTGCTTCATCAACCAGAGCTGTCGTTGTTCCTCGCAGGAGTCGCAGCCGCAGGCACCGCCGCCTCCCTCCTCCTCTCCGACGAGCTCAGCGCGGCGCCCCCCTCGCCGCGGAATCCGTTTCTCCTCCCGCTTCCGCACGTCCGCTGGTCCAGGTGAGAAGCACGCCCCCCCTCCTCCCCCCTCCCCCTCCCGCAGCAGCAGAGGGCACGCATTTCCTGCTGGGTACCGTACGCTCCAGGGTGGATGTTCGGATTTGGGATCAGAAAATTTTCGGGGGCTCGGGGCTCGGGAAGGTTGTGAGGTGAATCAGCGAACCGGCTGTTCTTAGTTATTCGTGTGATTTATGAATGCCTGTACTTGAGAAAGGGGAGGGTTCAGCAAGGGGATTTGGATGGGGAGGGTTCAGCAAGGAGCCTGATTGCTGCTTAGTGCTCTGGATGGTGATATTCTTACTAAGTGGCATGTAATGTCACTTGACATGTTTCTATTGCATTGCTTAGCCTATGACATTGCTGTAGTATGAGTTGTGCTGTGTGATGTTCCTTCTACGATGACAGATTCTGTCTGTCCATGCATTTGTAACCGAGTCACCTGCTGATGTCGAGATTTGTTTGCTATAATATATAGTTTACTCGAGTTCCTAGTTGCTGGTATGGTTCATCAATGCTTCCTAATGGTGCCAATCCTTCTAATTTCTTAGTCTATGAGAAAAATTGGTTGCTGACCCATTATATGTAGATATATCTCCCCTTGCTGGTGTCAATATTCAGTTGCTTCCACAAAGTTAATTGGTCAAGTACTAGTTGGTTCCTGCTCTAAACCATTTGTAATCCTGTCACCTGCTGATGTTGAGGTTCATATGTTATAATGTATAGATTACTTGAGTTCTTAGTTACTGGTGTGATTCATGAATGCTTGTTTGTGGCGCCAGGGCTGTATTCGTTTCTTAGTTCATACCAAGCAGATATGGCAAATGATTGGTTGAGCTCTGGTGATTTTCTTAGTGAGTACTAGTATGCAATTTCACTTGACCTGCTTCTAGTGCGTTGCTTAGCCCAATCAATGTGCACCCCGTAACGGCTTCTCCTCGCCTCGCCCCTTTCCCCAAGCAGAGCTTGCATTTGATCCGTGGTGAATTTCATGAACAATTGTTTTTAGATGGATGCACTAGAGAGAAGTATGAGGTTATACTTATGATCGCTGAGTAGATTTTAGTATATAATTGTTTCAGCAAAAGCGAATCCACCATGGGTCAAGGTCCTTCCGTGAGCCATGAGAATAGCACAATCGAATATGCTGCGGGATCTAGGAAAGGATCAAACTCAAAAGTTGAAAATGCTGTGAGTATTGCACCATTTCGCAGCAATCTAGTAAAATGCTGTGAGTGATGAAGTAATGTGCTGAAATCCTAACTTTAGTTTTCTCCCTTACTTTTTCAGCATCGCACTATCCTTGACTTAGATGGCTCCAGCTCCACATCATTCTTTGGTGTTTATGATGGCCATGGAGGTTTGATTTCATTCCTGACCTTATTACAGCAATTCTGAATCTTCAATCTGTAGCATAACTCATTGTTTCCAGATTTGAATTGTGCATTGAGTAATGTCTTTGAGTTTCATTTTTTTAGCAAGTGTTGTGATTTGTGAGGAATAATCCGAACATTCCTTTTGATCTCTTTTTCTCTGATAGAGGGGAAGGGTCACGTGTGTATAAAAGATTCTCACTATGTTGTGTGTACCATTTCTTTCCAGTGATACATATATATTGGAAATTTAGCTAGTCCTGTTCATTACATTCTTTTGGATATAAGCTTCTAGTGCATTATATTGGTTTTGCATTCTTGTTATGAAAATGCCAGATTGAGCTATGCATTTTGTGTTTCAGGAGCTGATGTAGCATTGTATTGCGCTAATAACTTCCATAGAGTGCTGGTAAACGATGGAGATTATAAGGATAATTTGGATGTGGCACTGAAGCGTGCGTTTGCCAGGTAATTTAACAATCATGTAGTCAACATTCAGGCTGCATAACTGTTCTCCTTTGTTGGAAGCAGTGAAATATATAACATTGTTACTTCTTAATTTCTAACATTGTTCTTTCTTTATTTGTAACATTCATGGATATTATAAGGATAATCTGGATGAGGCACTGAAATCTGTAACATTGTTCCTCCTTAATTTGTTGCAGAATGGATGAGCAAATGGACCAAAATGATGACTGGAGGACATTGGCTAATCCTCCTGGTGTTGGTGTCAAATTGCTATGTTTTCCGAGCACTCCCCCTCGTGTCCAGGTTTGGGTTCTTCCATGATTATGAAGTAATTCTACAAGATTGAGGTTTTGAAGAAGTTGATTAGGATTCTATCTATGCATGCTGTTATTCATATAAATGGACTGGAAGGGATCAATTGCTGTAATAGGATGTGAATTGTTTGAAGAAGTTATGTTCTCTACTTAAATACCACATTCTAAGCTCTTCTTGGTTATTGCACCTCGGTTGTTTTATCATACTGCCAAAATTTAGGTATGACATAACTCTTTCATGAGTTCGAATTGCTCATCTGTTTGGTTTGCTCTTATATTGAAGGGACCTCCATACGTGGAAGGGAGCACGGCATGCGTGGTTGTCATTAGAGGAAACCAGATCATTATTGGGAATGTCGGCGACTCTTGTTGTGTACTCTCAAGGGATGATGGTCGGCAGGTATAGTGACGGTTTCATTATTAAATTTCTAGTACTTATTTGTCCAACTCTTTCTCATGAGAAATGCTTTCAATGAGTATCTAAGAATTCTTCGTATTTTAATTAATCTAAAGGCAATTGAGTTATCGACCAAGCATACGCCAGAAAATGAGGATGAAAGGAAGATAATTGAAAATGCCGGAGGGCAACTACTCAATGCAGGTGGCGCTGATCTTGTTAATGGGATACTTCCTTTGACAAGAGCTATTGGTATAGACTTATCTGATTTTTTTTGGTTGGTTGCATAATTGCATTAGTTTCACCGCACTGACATTTTGCATACTTGCATTTCAGGTACCTTCCGTTTCAAGTCACCTTCTGCAGGACATATTGTGACATGTATTCCAGACATTGACATTGTAAGTTTGTTGTTTAAAGGTCTTCGTGGAGTATAAAAACTTGTTTCCATGGGTGTGTTATAATGGAAATCAATTTTTTTGCTAGGCGGACATCACTCATGATACCGAGTATCTCCTTATAGCAAATCGCGCATTTTGGTTAGTCCCCTGCTAAAATAAGTGGTTACTTGAAATGTGTGCTTTATTCATCTTGCAAGAGCTTAATTAATAATCTTATCACTTCATAAAACATTCACACCAATAAGATCATCTGAAGTTGTGGAATAACATATCTTGTGCCGTAGTATTCTACTCAGCTGGGGGAATGCTTTCAGACATCATTTATATTGCTCTTAATGCTAAAACATTGGACTTTTTTGTTCCCCTCCCCCTTTCAGGGATACCACTCCTATATCAAGTGAGATGGCTGTTAAGTATTTGAGGCAGTATTCTGTAAGCCCTTTTTTACTCATTCATTTTTGCTGTTGTTAATTGATGTGGTGTATGCCTAACAAACATGTTGTGTCAACACAGGGGAGCTATAGTGTTGCTAGCATGTGCGATAAGCTTCTGAATCTTTGCCGCAACCCGGTGGACAACTTGACGCTGATACTGGTTTACTTCAAGCCGAGTGCGAGGCTCCCACGTCCGGCCCCGCCTGCTCCCACCAACTTGTCCGTGCCTGTGGTTGTTTAGCGAGCTGCACGTAAGGAGCTCTGACTGAAGTCTTGATCGAGTAGGTAGAGAGAGCTCATGGGTCTGGAAGTTCTGCAGTGCTATATGTTTCATGTCTTGACGTGATGCCTCTGTGCACGAGAATGATGATAACATGGCGTAGGTAGGAGTTATTCAGCTTACACTAATACTGATTGCTGCATGCTTACTGAGAACTGTTCAGGAGATTTTGCCTTGGAGTTGGGTTTTTCACACGCTTTGTTTTCCGCGTTTCACTTGATACTGTAAATTCTATGAATTCCTCTGTGCTGCAGAGTACTATGCCTTTCTGAATCTGAATCGCACTGAATTCTTGTTTCTGTAGATCGACTAGTGCTTCTGTAGATGCTCACCGCTTTCAGAATTCTTGTTTGTTATTCTATATATTAACCCCAGCCTAGTGTTGATACAAATAACAAAACTAGATTCCATCAGCAATGCCAAGTGAAGACCATTTACTTGCTCCTATAGCTCTAGAGCACGTCATCTTTTTTATGAGTATATATTGCTTAAAACCATCACATTTTGTGGCTAGTGTAACAGGTTGCCATCTACAAATAACCACCAACTCTGCGGGAGTTAAATGGAACCACACGATTGACTGAAAACTACCACTTTACGTTTCGTGACATTTTGCATTGAACCGAAAATTTGATTGTGGCAAAAAACACCGAGCCATTTTCTGAGCACGTTTTGACGTGGCTGATCACTCGTGTGCCGACGAGGGCTGTCGACAACTGGGCCGACAACGATCCAATCAAGAAGGCTATCGGCCGGGAGCTAGCCGAGCGGTTCAAGAGCGTTCCAGCACTCGTCAATCACGCCAGAGGCCTCATGCCAGCGTTCAGGGATGACGAGAGGAAACCAGTCTTCCCCGATGGCCGCAGGGGCGTGACGGCGGTTGCCGCCCTCGTCTGGTGCATGCTGAGTCTATGTCTGCCGATGTTCAGCAGGGGAACCATTGGATCACGTCAATCACGCCAGAGGCCTCGTGCCAGCGTTCAGGGATGACGAGAGGAAACCCGGCTTCCCCGATGGCCGCAGGGGTGTGCCGGCGGTTGCCACCCTCGTGTGGTGCATGCTGGAGTCCATGTCTGGCGATGTTCAGCAGGGGAACCAGTGGATCATGTATCCGACTTTGAAATGCAGGTTTCTGGCTGATCCAGCGGACGCATGCGTGGTGGTCAAGGTATCACTACAAAAAAAGATACATCCGTGACATTTTGGGCCGAACGAATTTTTGTTATGTCATACTTATGACACTTCTATGCCGATAATTGTGACAAAACCCAGTATCATCATAGATGTGGTGGGCTCCTACTTCTATGACAAAAAATCATGATAGAAAATTGGCTTTTCGTCCAGGGCGGGCCGGAGACGCAGCTGCATGACATTCTTTGGGCCGTCCACGACGGAAAAAACCGTGGTAGAAGCGAGGGCGAGGAAAATATCGGGGTGTTCCCGCTTACAGTGGGTGGTCGGGGCTGAGTGATGCGCGTTTCTCTCATACACGTACGCGCGTGGGTGCGAGGCGTTGGGCTGTAACTGAACCCGAGCGAGGTGTTCGCCTATACAGAACCCGAGCGATTGCACTACAGGCTACGCGTCACTGAACCCGAGCGATCGATCGATGCATGGCTGTTAACTGAACCCGATTGAGCGATTCCTTTTGCTACTGCTGCTAGCTGAAGCCGATCGATGC